AATAAAGTACTAAATTTAACCCTTTATAGGTTGATTGTCGCTAAATCAACCACTTTAATTTAACCAACTAATCAGTCGCGCGGAAATGTATTATCGCCCTGTTTGTTTCCTATGCTTATTTCTATGCGCGCTTTGGTCATTTAATCAACCATATCTATATGTGGGCCGAATTGGAGCGATAAGTTAACTTAAGTGGTTGAATATTCGACTAGTGAGCATTAGTGACACTGAGTTCGCTGTGTGTCATATACGTATTAATTGGCGTTTAAACAATTTGTATGCAAATTTCATGTGACAAAAATTTTAAAATATAGAAACAATTGTATCTGTGACGTTTATTTCTTTTTATTTAGTGCACCAAATTTACAGCTCGGATGATATTTTCTAAAATCATCAACATATCCTGTATATTTTCGATCATTTCTCATAGGATGCGAGTTTCTCGAAAAACAAAATTTGATTTACTTGATACGGGCATATTTTTGAGTAGAGAGATCTTTTTGAAGTATAAACTAGACTTTCCGCTAGAAAATAATATGTAACCTCTATCTTTGTGAAACCAATTTGAGCTTTATAAAATACCACCAATCAGGCAAATATTTGTATACAGGGTTGTTCACCACATACGACACGGAGTATTGTAGCTAAACGATTAGATTTTTACAAATTGTAAGTTCGTTGAAGGATTAGTCTGAGTTAATTTAAAATATTTTTTGTTGAAGATACAGAGTGTCTCAAAAGTAAAAAATATTATAGTTGTATTTTTTTAAATGGAACTCCCTGTAGCATATTATTCTATTTTTAGATTCTACGCTTAAAATAGCAGTAAATTGATTAAGGTTCATCATAGCTTACCTAGCCGTTTTTGAAATATTTTCAATTTTATGAAATTCCAGTGGGCTTTTTAAGGCTCATTTTTCTAGTATCAAAGTTTTTAATACTAAATATTTACTGAAGATTATTTTATTGACCAGATATTGTGTTGCAATAAAAATTTATTACCTTATACAGAGTGTCCAAAAATGTATATTAAATAATTACTAGCTTTATAACGTGTTTAATTTAAATGGAACAACTTATATATTTTACGTGAATCAGATGCACAATGTAATTGTCTATCAAATTTTATTATACCATTTTTTACCTATCTCTTCAAGTTTTCGTAGAAAAGGCATTTTCTTATAATTTAGACCTTATTTATCACTATACCCATGGAATATTGACATTTTAGATTATTTTTGTACATATACTAATATTGTCGATATAGTTTGCTTATATCATAAAAAATTTAAAAAACTGCTTAAATATTTTTTTGTTAAAGGGGACCAATTACTATGATCCCAGTATTCAAACTACATTAATTGATTGTTTACGTTGATTAATAATAATTGCTCCAAATACTAAAAAAGCTGATTTTTGTGTGAGTATTAGACAGTGTGGTAAAAAGTAACGGCCTTATAAATTTTATTTAATTTTTTGACGAATGCTTATTTATAAAAAACAGAGACGTTTATTTTCATAATTTATTATAATATTGGATTTCCGAGCCAAATCCACATTTATTTAGAATACTTTATTAATTAAAACAATTTAAAAGTATGTAATTAACTAATTTTTGGTCGGAAATAATGGTGGTATATTTAATTGTATACTCTTTTTATAAAGATTTAAATAGTTCTTTTATTGGTATACCAATGGGCTTGCAATATTTACCATCTGTACATTTTGTGCATATATGTTGCTTAAAAAAATCTGAAATGTCAATATTCCATGGGTATAGTGATAAATGAGGTCTAAATTATAAGAAAATGCATTTTCTACAAAAAAAGTTGAAGAAATAGGTAAAAAAATGGTATAATAAAATTTGATAGACAATTAAATTGTGCATATGATTCACGTAAAATATACAGGGTGTTCCATTTAAATTAAACACGTTATTGCTGCTTAAAAGCTAGTAATTATTTAATATAAATTTTTGGACACTCTGTATAAGGTAGTAAAATTTTTATTATTGCAACACAATATCTGAATAAATAATCCTCAGTAAATATTTAGTATTAAAACTTTGATACCCTTGGAGAAATGAAGCCTTAAAATTTTTACTGCAATTTCAAAAAATTGGAAAATATTTCAAAAAACGGTAAGGTTTAAGTGTGGTAAACCTAATCAAATTTACCTTTATTTCAATCGTAGAATCTAAAATAGAACAATAACAGGGTGTTCCATTTAAAAAAATACAACTATGATATTTTTTACTTATTTGGGACACTCTGTATCTTGTAAAAATATTTTTAAATTGTAGCTCTAATAGTCCTTCAACGAACCCAAAATTTACAATTTGTAAAAATCTAATCGTTTAGCTACAATACTCCGTGTCGTATGTGGTGAACAACCCTGTATATTAATATAGGAAAATAAAAGTCCATAAACGGAACATTTCAGTTTTGTGAACCTTGAATATAGCGTCAACTAGTGGTGACAAGACGACCACTTTCTTGCGGAAATTCAGTGTACCAGCTTTGGTAGCAGTATCCATTAGTGTGCTTACCCCAATTGGCTATATCCAAATAAACCTTATACCAGTTATGTATACTACTAAAAGGCAGATAATATATCTAAGCTAAATATAATTTATTACAGCTGTAGTAAAATGAGTAACTAATAACTGTAAAAAATAAAGTTCCAGCCCTAGATGCAACATTTTTCATAAACGCCGGCTAGTGCGGTTTGAAATTTTGATGCAAAATCCAGCAATACCACATAGAGAAATGTATCAACCCAACTTTTATCTCTTTTTAATACATCTTCCATTAAGCTGTCTACATAACTCTCTTACACGTTAAAATTCAGACCACGCAGTTTCGATGACCAGATCGGTATGTCTTGTATCTACTGTTTTAATCAGATATGTAGACTCGGGAGATACAATTCATAAAACTTCATCACACATTGGTTTGCCAAAATCAACGAGTGCGAGAGACAATGGATAGAGAAGGAAATAGGGGTATCTGCTCGATGGCAACAATGTAGGTGTGTACAAAGATTAGACGTTTGAGGTCAACTTTCAGTGGCGTGCCGATCGACCGACAGTATTTTAAGGAAATTAAAATAATTGTTTAATAAATTTAAAAAAAATAATAATAAAACTTACATATTTGTCGCATTGTAAAAAAATAAGTTGAGGGAGGATAGTGAAATAAATAAAAACCGGCATAATTTTTTATTATAAGATGGCTTTTCACATAAAAATAACGATTAAAAAATCAATAAGCGTTTTTTACTTTATTTTTTTATTAAATAAAATATCAAATTTTAGGTGTATTAAGACCGTTTGACACGGGACTTAATTTTAAGAACTGAAAAGTAGTTTGGGTTATATTTTATAAAATATTGTATGCAAGAAATATGTATGTATGTCACAATACATGATTAGGACCGTTTGACACGGGACAATATTCCAGCCTAAATTGTATACAATTTTGTCAAATTGCATGCAATTAGTCAAATTGCATGCAATAAAATAGAACATGTTCTAAATTCTTGCATGCAATTACATAACAATATAATATTACATTACATAACATGCGCAATACATAATTTAATTTCTCTGATTTTGTAAGGTTATATGTTTATATTACATTTGTTTTTTAAGTTAATTGTTTATGTTTGCTCTGTTCGATTGTGAGGCTTTAACTGACTGTAATTAGTAAGTAAGTTAAATCAACTTAACAAACAAATGTAACATAAACATAACCTTACAAAATCAGAGAAATGAAATTATGTATTGCGCATGTTCAGCTAATTGCATGCAAGAATTTAGAACATGTTCTATTTTATTGCATGCAATTTGACTAAAAATGCGCGCGCAACAAATTGTATACAATTTAGGCTGGAATATTGTCCCGTGTCAAACGGTCCTTAGTAAATGCAGTTTCAATATCTTGTTCCAAACCTTGTTCGTCTCCGGCGAATGAGACTCCCTCTATTAGCAATAACAAAATAAAATAATTATTCTAACCTAGTAACACAATAATTTTACCCAAAACTAATATTTGTAGAGTTCACATATTTTTAATAAAAACTTTATTATTATATGTATATTTATTATACAGTGTGTACATAAAGTATGGAATAAATTCATCTTCTTGAACTGGGATTTTATTAAAAAAAATGCTCGAACACGTCGATCTATTTTATAAAAGGGGCACATTTTAGCCATATTACCTTGCCTCCAGCTTCACCCCGTGAGTGGCACCCCTAGTTTTTGTAATGGGAAGGGGGGGTCGAGTGATACCTTATTTTAAAGGTCTCTCGCTCCAGATTATAATCCTAGAGTTTGAAGTTGCTAGTGTCATCTTTCTTAACATGACAGCTTGTCAAAATTTCTAATTTTCTTAGTTTTGTCAAGCTGCCATATTAACAGAAATTATGGTAGCAACTTCAAACTCTAAGATTATAATCTCTAGCGAGAAACATTTAAAATAAGATATCACTCGACCCTCCTTCCCATTACAAAAACTAGGGGTGCCACTCACCCCCCCCCCTCCCCACACGGTGGGTGAAGCTAGAGACAAGGTAATATGATAATATGCCTACTTATATCATAAAGTTTGAAGTTGCTACCGTAATTTCTGTTAATATGGCATCTTGACAAAACTAAGAAAATTAGGAATTTTGACAAGCTGTCATGTTAACAAAGATGACCCTAGCAACTTCAAACTCCAGGGCTATAATCTGGAGAAAGAGACCTTTAAAATAAGGTATCACTCGACCCCCCCTCCCATTACAAAAACTAGGGGTACCACTCACCCCCGCACGGGGGGTGAAGCTAGAGGCAAGGTAATATGCGTAAAATGTACCCTTTTAAAAAATAGATCGACGTATTCGAGCATTTTTTTTACTAAAATCCCAATTTGAGAAAATGAATTTATTCCATACTTTATGTACACACTGTATATTGATTTATTGATCAAGGAGCAACGCCCAAAAAAAGAATAATATAAAATATAACACAGATATTTAAAACAAATCATTTGGATCAAACATTTTTCCACTTAAATTAAGAACAAGTAGTGTAGGTACTGAAGAGAGGAAAGGAGCCAGTTAATTAACAGGTAGGTACTGAAGAGAGGAAAGAGCCACTGTGACCTGCAATAGAGCATCTGCGTGTTGAATGTACTGTTGCGGAAGAAACATTAAAATTTTATAACATTTTATGCGTTGAATGGCGCTCTTAACATGAATTCTAGCCATTGCTAAAGGTTCTGGCATAAATCCTTCGTCTGCCAACATCAAGTCTCCTGACTCTAACATTTCTGGAATCTTACAGTCCCCTACAATGTCATCGTCTGATGTAGAGCCTACATATAAATCACTAATGAATGTAACAACACCATTTGGAGCTACACCTATTAAAGCCTTCCATATTATGTGTTTGCAACTGCTACATGTAATTTTTTGTCTTTTCATACATGATGTACATGTAATGGCTGACGTCTCTGTACAATCTAATTTATCACAGTTACTGAAAGTGCTAAAACATGTTGGCAAACTGGCTCTATTCGGAATATTTTGAAGTATTTGTTTGAAAAGAATAGTATGCAATAGATGTATCCAAGTAATAACAATATTGCTTACCGCACTATGAGAAATACCGAATCTGTGTGCAAGATCAGCATGAGGAAAATTATGTCTGAGTTTCATTAAACACAATAATAGCTGATCAATTCTTTTAACTTTCTCTACTTTCCAATTATAATAATAATTTATATCGACGTCTTTGACTAAATTAAAAAGAGACATAAAAATATTTGAATTTGGTAATCCAGTGTATAGCAAAACAAGTTTCTCATTATCTTTAATATGGTCAAACATAAATCTTAATGATAAATTTTTTAACTTAGCTTTTAGATCGTCGTTTTCTTTCCTTAAGAAGTAATTCTCTGCTTCCAACAGGACAGAACTAGTTTTAAGTTTTAGTTCATCATTTTCTTTCCGTAATAAATAATTCTCTTCTTCCAACATGGCAGAACTAGTTGTTCCTGATGTTGTAGGACATATTTCTTCACCTGACTCTCCTGCACTGGTCTCCGGTCTGACACAAGTTAATACTTCAGGATTTTCACTTATTGTTTTGATTTCAATTTCGGTATCCTCACTGAAAAAAAAATAATTACTTTAACAAATAAACAAGAAAAAAATAATACGGAGTCGCTGATATGTATGGGAACCATAGACTTAAAATAAAATATAGACTACACTATTTACATCTCAACGCGGACAAACAACCTTTTTTGTACACATGTTTACTTCTGGGTACAGTCGACCGAGCCTTCCTCATCCAGCCTATGTTGTCACGTCTTTAATATTATCAATATTTTTTTTCTTGTTATACACATATATTGAGATATTAATACTACAGTTTAATAAAGTAGGTTTTAATATTCCATAGATGTATTAAATAGCCCTTATACTACTAAATTATAAGTCGGATACTGTTTAATAAGGATAAGTTCTTACAATATGACAACACCGATTAGAGGCGAGGGGAGCCTATTCATTCATTTATTACCTTGTAGTACGTGTCGCACGTGTGCGGTAAAGCTTTGTTGCCGCTATCTCCCCGGCTGTATTAACGCATTTTCTTAGCTTGTAGTCCTCAAGTGTTTATTTTATTGACTTTTTCTGTTCAAAAAACTATAAAATATGGTTCGCCAGTGGCAAATTTGCGAAGAAATTTGACTTAAATAATCCATTTAAGTCTTGAAACGACTTTTGACCGGTAGGCAACTCTCAATTTACCCATTGGCAGTCAGTGGCGTTGTTGTAGAAAGGCGCTTATTTAGATAATATTTTACTAAATTTTAAATCTGAATTTTTTCTTTTACATTACATTATTTACTTACTTACATTGTAACAAAATCATAATTATAACCCTGTTAATAATTAATGTTTTATTAAAATATATTCCGGTTTATTCTAAAATTATCTTCAGAATCTAAAATAACGTACAAGAATTTTTAAAAATGATATTACATTATGAAACAATATTTTTTAATATACCGGGTCGTCTCAAAAGTGGCTCAACCCTATAACTTTTTTTATTTTTTCAGATAAAAAACAGATTTGTATGTTAGTAGGTATGGACATAAATTAGATTTATTGATGTATTCAATTGTTTTTTGGTCTCTTCCTGTTTCACCGAAATGATTACATCTTTTGATTTTTAAAGGCACCCTCGGTATATTGCTACTTTATTCGATAAAAATGACACTCTGAATAGAATGACATATCATATGTCAACTTTTGACATTGTCGCTTAAATACATATCCTATTTTAAATTTCAATCCAGTTTTTTCTCAATCCACTAAGTTTTAATCAAGGAGCCTTTGGAAAAATAGTTTTGATCGTCTAATAGGTTTCGTGTCTTGTCTAGGCCGGTTAAAAGATGTACAAATCGTATTTTTTAATCATACATATGTCAATTTTTTTTCAAATGGAACAAGGGTGACCATTAGCATATTTGGAAAAAAGCATTTTTTTATGAATATATTGATACCACACACTTGGTATTTCGAGTCAAATTGTCGTTATGAACCGCGTGTTACAATTACAATTAAACCATATGCGAAAATGTCAAAAGTTGACATATGATATGTCATTCTATTCAGAGTGTCATTTTCTATCGAATAAAGTAGAAATATACCGAGGGTGCCGTTTAAAATTAAAGTTATAGTCATTTCCGGTGAAACAGGAAGTGACCAAAAACAATTGAATGCGTCAATCAATCCTAATTTATTTCATATACTAACATACTAAATCTTGTTTTTTTATTTGAAAATATAAAAAATTATGGGGATGAGCCACTTTTGAGACGCACCAGGTATAATAAAGACAGTACCAAGTTAAATAAATGTAGTTTTTTATTTTATCCACTTGCTATCACCTTCCTTGCTTTAATGGAACAGATTTATGTTTTCTCTAATTTACATAATAAGACCTCCACTTAACCAGAAAAAAAAAAATTACAACAATCATATTTTTTTTCTCTCCTGTCGCCGATTCTATTATATCTGTGGAATAGATCCTGTTTGATTAATATTAGGGGTTGTAAATGTTTGACTAAAATTAATAATTTATTATTAATTTCAAAAATTACGTAATTTCTGATTATAAAATTTCTTCTATAACGTGTATTTTATTATTTTTATCCTTTTGGGACTCTAAGACGTTTTTTCTAAACTTTTATTTAAAAAAACCTGTCCTAAATCTTAATAAAATATAAAAAAGTTTAAATACGATATATTTTTAATTTAATTATAGCTTCATTAAAATAAAAAATTACCCGGCTATGATACGGAGAGTTCAGGTGTACTTGAGAAACGAAAGACAGTGTTGTGTTTCTCGGCAGAGTCGTCAGGGGAACGACCGTTACGACAGAGACAACCGATCTATCGCTCGTGTCGCACTCGTTATAACCTAAAACAATAACACAACAATAACAAGACAGTGTCTGACCGCATGTTCCAGCTATTTATGAATGAGATGCTCAGTCTATATTTTATTTTAAGTCTATGATGGGAACGGTCAATTATTAGGTAAAATATAAGAGGTACCGAATGAAAGTTATAGGGTTTTTAAATATCTATTAGCGGGTAATAAATTTAAGTATACAGGGTCGGTCATAAAGTCGTGGCCATTCAAAGTTTCATTTTTTTTAAATCAAACCCCCTGTATATTATTGTATATTTCGATTCTTCCTTCAATTCTAAGCAAATATCGAGATACACACAATAGGTACCCATACACCAGCGTTCTTTCCTGCAGGAATGTCTAATCCCGCTGGAAAGAACGCCAGTTAGTGGGTATATGCACGACACATGCACCTTCCGTCTTTCTTGTCAGGATCTACTGGCGTTCCAGCCCGACAAGATAAAACGTGTAAAAAAATTTGTATTAGTGGTTTGGGGGTCATTTCATTTGAGAGAGATGATACATCTGTGTGTCCTCTCCTGTTAGGAAAGTCTGTTGTTAAAACGCCAGGTAGTTTTTTTAAGTCTTAAATATTTATTAGCTAGTTGAGTGTTTTACGAATTAATTACGATGAATTTTTGTATGTATGGACTAACTAATTTTAACAGTTCATCAAATGTTATTAGAATCCATTCTTAAATAATTTTGGAAATCGGTAGGCTCACTTGTCCGTAATTCCTCGTAACAGATACATATTGCTGTACATTTTCCGTTTCTGAAGCCACTTCTTTGATCACATGCGGCGTTTCTGCTTTTCTTAAACAAAACTTCAATTGCAATATTAAATACAGCAATTGCAATTATTCTTTTAGGTTTCATCTTAATATTAATAGTTTAATAATAATAAAAATAAATATTAATATTATTATTCAAAGCACACCACTTGTTTACTTGTATTGCACAACACAAATTTTATAAAAAGTCAAATCTCACGATACTTAGTAAAATGATCATCTAGCGGAAAAATTTTAATAATCGTGTCACATTTACAGTACAACAAACTAAATCCTTTAAAAACTGCAACGAAAGGTATTTTGTGTTAGTGGGCTTTTACAAGGAATATAACTCCTTCAAAAAAGAACAGGCCAGTCTTACAGTAAAAACTGACAGGAAATTCAACAAGATTGCGTTTGTGTTAGTGGGATTGGACCTTCGTTCTTTCCTTTCAATTTTTTGACAAGAAAGAACGCATAAGGAAAGAATTACAGGAAAGAACGCTGGTGTATGAGTACCTAATATTCCTCAAACCATCCGTTTCCGAGTTATTGACTTTTAAAAATATCACTTAAACAATAATTCAATTTAATTAATGTCGATGTGTTCGGTTTCATTTAACGATGCCATTCTGCGGAAACTGTGATACTATAGTCTACTGGTGGGTTCATACAGCCAAATAAAATAAAATAAGAATAAAATAAAATAAAATAAGAAAGTTGGTTATATGGGATATCGTACATGCGTTCATACAGCCAAATAAAATAACAAATAAAATAAGAAGTCTTTATCTTTTAACTTCTTGTTTTTTTTATTTTATGTGAAAACGGCTTTGCGCACGCTTAATTCTAACCTACACAAATATTTTCAGTTTGATTTAATTTATTTTTATAATTTCACATAAGTAAAATGTATAATATAGTAGGCAACTAATAAATAAATATACTATAAATAGTAAAATTACTATAAACAATCGTAAAAGTTAACTTTTTATCCAGCCTCATCGTACTACGCATGAGCAAATATATATTTCTTATTTTATTTTATTTGGCTGTATGAACCCACCATATAAAATAAATAACTTTGAATTTTGACCGTTATTTTTTACCAACATGGCAAATATAAAATCCCTCTATCAAAAAAGTTACTGATATTCATTAAATTGAGTGCCTGGACTTTGGCCTGAACGAATCAGATAGGTAACGTGAATTCGTGAAATAGAAAAGGAAAATAATAAAACAAGTGACAATTTTTCCTCTTCGTGCAAAAAATCAACACGAAATGACATAATTGTCAAAAGTAAAATGTCATTAGCTTTTTGACATTTCTAAATATCAGACCAATGGCGTCTATAATAGAACAGCCTCGGAGCGAGATTTATGACGTCACGCTAGTTAGATACTACGGATTAATAAATATACTGTTTTTTTTTCTTCAGGTAAGATTTCGACAGACGATGACAGAAGAAAAGCAGATGACGTCCCATACCAATCTATTTATAGCTAAAAAAGTTTCTAATAATTTTTAAAGTTAACTATGGATGGGTTTAAATATAAATTCGTCATGCGTCGTCATTTGTTGTTTTTAACCAGTTTTATTGGTTTATTTCAAAAAATGACAGATCGTATTTCAATTTTATTGGTTTGACGGAACGATAAACGACAAACGGACGCCGATGCGTATGAACTCGCCTTTAGATTTTTGACGTTTGTCAAAGTCTTGCCAAATTATAGGTTATAATTTTGTGACAACTTTTGTCAAATACCCTGCGTTTTGGAAGATGATGCATTTTGATTCGTGTTTTTACGAGTGTTTTGTGTCTTTTGAAGTCAAGTGGAGGAAAAATCGAGTGAAAATTAACTGTAGAACCCAGAGCACAGGTTATGGTTAATAGTCGCTGCACAGAAAGT